ATAGAATGGCTTATCAAAGGATACATGGATGAAATACTATTTCAAGTGAAGGAACACATAAATAAGAGGAATAAGGTGCAAAATCTTCCACCTCTGAGGCAAATTATGGCACCTTAGAAGGAGCTCTTAGCGATAACATGAAAATAAATGAAGAGCTGCTAATATATTTGAAGAGAAAGATACATTCACAAGTAACTTAGTTGATGGAGGATTGACATATTTATCTTATTTGTTACCTTCTTTTGCATAAAAAATAATAGCAATCATTCAGTTGTATTCTGGCATATGACAACTAGGGCATGGCTTCCACAATGGTAGGCAGCAGACACATAATCTCCCTCTAGCCGCTCTGTGTAATTTATATATATACAGACTAACATCTACCTAACAAGTTCCAACTCTAGCAAGAGGGGATAGAAAATGCAGTCTCCAGAACATTGGAAGGGATTTTGTATCATGGCGATTGATAGAATGCAAATAATACTTTCAGAGCAAAATATGGTTTGGTATAATTAGTCATTCATAGAGCAATTTTGTATCTTTAAGAGACAAGCAAATGAAAGAAAAACTCGGTTAACACCTTTCAGCTTGTTAAAAATCCATTTTGCCTTCTCTTCCACAGTACTTGAGATAGTCTGAAACGCAAGGAAAGTTTTAGAAAAACCAAAAATTAGTAACATTAACTCTCTAATATATATCCAAAATGAAACCAATCTCATATCAAAAATAAATTGTTCCTTTCATTTCATGGTATGATTTACAAGTTATAAAATTTGATACAATAAGGTGTTAAGTTTCCAGTTGTAAACTTACACCTTAACTGACAACCTCAGTTGATAAGCTTACTTTGACATTTATGAAATGACTTCTTATAACAAAATAAACTAATCCAAAGAGAATAGGAAAATAAAAAGGACACTGACAATCATCACCCAAGGACCTATACCAATGTAACTGTGTATGTAGTTGACATCAATATGCAAAGAAAGATGGACACTTGAATAATTTCATAGAGTAGTTGAGAATTTTTTTTGTCATTGAATGATATGATACTCTAGCTCTAGTACACTGTGGCCAAAGGGATTCATATCACTATATGCTCTAAGCATACAAAATGATTTTCACACACATTAATATCTTAAAATTCTAGTCATACAAGCAGTATAAACCTTAATCTCATAGGCCAATGCTGGACAAGCGTTTCCAAGACAACATATTCCTTTGCAACATCTGGCTTTTAAGGTATCTTTTCATTTTTGGCTGCTCAATTAAGTTGAATCATAATTATGGTGTAGTAGTTAACATCTATGTCATACAACCCCTATACATTCACTTTTTTGTGGTTGGGTTCATCATGCTGATTGTATTTACTATACAGAGCTTAACTCTTTTATATCCCATAAAATAGATCAATATTCCATTCTATATCCAAACAAAACACTAATGCTTTCTCACCCTTCATAGTTGTCATTTGGATTACTGAAACAAGTCCAAACTAGTCAAAATTGCAGCTGCAACTACTGAAGTAAAAGGAACCAAAATGGAGAATTGGAAAATCAAACAAATAGAAGCTTTTCAATAGAAATTCCTCTGTTGGCAGAATCACGATCGATGGTCATAGAGTAACAGTCGGCGGTCATGGAGAGAATTAGAATTTAGGGTTTGATATTCGAATTGAAATGGGATGTAAATGTCATTTTTGACATAATTTAGAAGACAAAATGATAAATTCCAGACACCCCCTAATAGTTGCAAAACTTACATATATCCCCTATCGAACTCGAGTAAGCTCACAAGTTGAATATTGGAAAGCTCGAACTTAGCTTGACTCGAGCCTAGCCCAAGCTCCGATCGCTTGACACCCCTAGTTAACAGGGTAATTGTTATGGGTGAGGGCAATGAGTTAAGAAAACCATTAGTTATTTACGGGATCGCATATTAAGATAAGAAGACTTATCTTCATCAACTTGAAGCACCCTTGTTTTCCTTAAGATTCAACGCTTCTTTCAGATTGGTGTGTCATTTTATCTCCATAACCAACGATTTCATTTTAACTTGGATAGTAATTTGGACATCTCTCTATCGTTTTTATTGTTTACCAAGCTGAGAGCTCAATAGTTTACAACCTCGAGCAAAAATAAATGAGGCTGTCTAGACACAGAAGAATCATTTTATATAAACTAGGAAACGCGATCTTCTAAAAATGCTCCTATTTCTCCATTTCATTCATAACTATTGCTTGCATTATGGAATATGGAACAACTTGATACACAGAGGGTTTTGAGGTGAACCAGGCTTTTGACAATGCTGGGGAGAAGGGATTTTTCCATTTAAAAAGCAATCACAAATACCTCTATACTTGAGATTTAGATGATAGTAATTCTCAAAGTAGTTATTTTGAAAACTACTAACTATCTATGCACGTTGCTTGATAACACTCTATTTCACGATGAAAAAGTTTTTCTTTTATATTAAGCATTTTTTATAATTAAACCATTCAATTCAATCACTTTCCTGTAATGTATTTTTCTTTTTTGGACTGCATATATAAGCACCCATTGGGAAAAAAAAAAAAAAAAAAGAAAAAAAACTCCAGTGAACTATATTGTGATTTTACTATTACACTACTAAAAGCAAAATACATAAAAACTTTTTTTTGGGTAAGTAAATACATAAAAACTAGCGACTCATACTGTATGAGAAATATGACTCAGGAATATAAATGCTGCCTTTCTCTTGATTCTGGATTTGGCTAGCATCAGTATGATTTCGACCATTCCAGTTCCATGGTGTTAAGAATGAAGAATCTTGTTTCAGGAAAGATGTGAGCCGTGAGTAATCGATAATGGGTTCATTGGAAAGATTTTGTTCTGGCCCTGATTGATATTCTTTTTGGGCCAAAGTTTCCTCTATTTCCACTTCTAGTTGTTGTCTTTCTTGCAGTTGTTCTGGCATTGATTGTCCCACTTCTATCCAACCTCGCTGCAAGTGTAACAATGGTTCCTGTCGTCCAAGAAAAGCCCTTGGTCGATCCATCAAAGTTTGCCACAGCAGCAAAATATCTTCTTGTTGCGCTTCAAGTTCAACATGAGTTTCCTGTAACTTTGATCTGTGTTGTAGCTTCTCTTGTTGGAGTTTGAGAATGCGAGGAGGTACAAATCTTTCTGTGTTTATGACGGAGGGGTGGTGTTCATGTTGGAGTTTGAGCATGCGAGGAGGTCGACATCTTCCCTTCTTAGCAGCGAAAAGATGAGGCTGTTCTTGGAGAAGTTTGAGAATGCGAGGTGGAGTATTTCTTCTGCCCATCCCTGCTTTCAATGTCTTCTCTATCTTGTGATTACTGTAATGTATGAATAAGTTACTTACTTGTTTATATAGGATTTTATTTGTGTTTATCCTAGTAGGAAAAGAACTAGGAAGGAAGAAGAGATTAATTAAAATTATGAAACTTGCATTTCCTTGTAAAAACAGGAAATTTTAGTTTAAGTTTAATTCCTACACGAACTTTTTACGCGTATTAATAATTTAATCTATCCCCAAACATTTTGATTCTCTTAGAATTATGAAAATTTTAGTTGTCTTATTGTGTCAGGGTCTTGCAAGGGCAGACGCGTGTCCCTAAACTATATAGTACTTAAAAAATATTTATAATTTTAAAACATAAATAAGGATAGATGAAAGGTTGGCACAATTGTTTAGAGATTATATGGGGTCAAGTATGGGATATTGCTATCCGCTAAGTCGTTGAATCAATTAATGAAGAAACGTCTCATAGTTTTTTAAGAATTCTTTTTGAGAAAATATTACAATGGCGATAAATAATAATCTCCAATTAATAATATAAATGAACAAAGCAAAAAATAAATGACAAACTCTTTTTATTTTAACTTGTTAGAAAGGTATAGATTAGGTGATCTAATGGTAAAAGGGTAAAGAAATATCTATTATGGTCTCCTAAATTCGAGTTTCCTTAATGGTAAGAGAGCAAAGGAAGATTTAATATGGTCTCTCAAATTTAAGTTCCCTTAATGGTAAAAGAGCAAGAGGAAGATCTAATATAGTCTCATGAGTTTGAGTCCCCACCCCTACTAAAAGGATGGTCATTGGAGTTCTTATCTAGCCGATAGTTCCAACGTCCCGGAAGAATTGTTGAGATGCATGCAAACCGGCTCAGACACCTCCTGTCATTGAAAAAAAAAGGGTATAAATGCTTGTTATTGGACGTGTATGACCAATAATATTTCTTTGTTAAATCCAGTATGGGCAATAATCTCAGTTTTCATGGGAATTAATTAATTTAAGTTGTAAATTTAGCTAGGAAGGAGATGCAGCAAATTAGCAAAATATAAATTCTACTGTTTAGTAAGATCAAGGTTCTGAATTCGGTATGCCATTAGTATGATTTTGACCCTTCCAATTCCATGGCGTTAAGAACGAAGAATCTTGTTCGAAGAAAGATGTGAGCCGTGAGTAATCGATAATGCATTCATTCGCAAGATTTTGTTCTAGCTTTGACTCATTTTCTTTTTCATCCAAAGTTTGCTCTATTTCCGCTTCTACTAGTTTCAGTTCTTGCAGTTGTGGCATTGATTGTCCCACTTCTATCCAACCTCCCTGCAAGTGTAACAGTGGTTCCTGTCGCCCAAGAAAAGCCCTAGGCTGTTCCATCAAAGTTTGCGGCAGCAACAATATATCTTCTTGTTTTTAGTAAGAGTTTCCTGTAACTTTGCTCTTTGTTGTAGCCTCTCTTGTTGGCGTTTAAGCATGCAAGGAGGTATAAATCTTTCAGTTTCCATCATTGCTCCGTATTGCTATTGTTGTTGGAGTTCGAAATTTGAATATGCGAGGAAGTACGAATCTTTCTGTGTTTGTTCATGTAGGAGTTTGAGCATGCGAGGAGGTAGACATCTTCCCTTCTTTGCAGCGAAAAGATGAGGCTGTTCTTGGAGAAGTTTGAGAATGCGAGGTGGAATATTTCATACACAAGTAAAGCCAACCCAGAAGAAATGAGATTCTAAATATTGATAGACAATAAATAAAATACATGCAACTGTCAAATAAGTGAAATGATTGTATCACTTCTTGACCTATCAAAAACTACAAAAGATTTGGGCCGTCTAATTCTTGGCATCAGGCAATGATATTGAATATTAACTCAAAATTCTTCTACTCTAACAGCATTCAGGGGCACTAAAAAAGCATCCTTAGCCTTTGATTTCTTCACTCCAGCCGTGAACCACACTTTATCAGACTTGTAGTTCTCAACTGCCACACTTGTAACCTTAACCCATACAAGGACCTTGGTCTTCATTCCTTCTATACCTGTGAGCTTTCCCCTTATTAAATTTGCTTTCACTCGTGTTGCATACCTTATAACTGATGAGTCTTTGAAGCTCACTTCACATGTAGACGGCAAGTACACTGTCAACTTGGCCTTTGTTTCATCAAATTCATAACAGATTATGTTCTGAGGAAAGAGGCCCGGCGGTAAGTTGTACTCTCGAAGCAGATCAGGCAAGCTTTTCATAGGTTTTCCTATGGTGAAAAACAAACACATAAGCATCTTACTATCACTATACAAGCCTTCTTATTTGAAAGAAAGGAAATTCTTTCTAAAAAGTTATCCCTCTAGTTTCTACAACCTCAGCATACTCAAGTATTACCTCACAAAAAGAGTAAAAACATAAAAAGACTGATCAATTACACACTACACTTTTTATTATATTTACAAAGTTAGAATTTAAGAAATAAATCTGAGTAGTTAAAATAGAATGGCTTATCAAAGGATACATGGATGAAATACTATTTCAAGTGAAGGAACACATAAATAAGAGGAATAAGTGCAAAATCTTCCACCCCTGAGGCAAACTATGGCACCTTAGAAGGAGCTCTTAGCGATAACATGAAAAGTAAATGAAGAGGCTGCTAATATATTTGAAGAGAAAGATACATTCACAAGTAACTTAGTTGATGGAGGATTGACATATTTATCTTATTTGTTACCTTCTTTTGCATAAAAAATAATAGCAATCATTCAGTTGTATTCTGGCATATGACAACTAGGGCATGGCTTCCACAAATGGTAGGCAGCAGACACATAATCTCCCTCTAGCCGCTCTGTGGTAATTTAGATATATGATACAGACTAACATCTATCTAACAAGTTCCAACTCTAGCAAGAGGGGATAGAAAATGGAGTCTCCAGAACATTGGAAGGGATTTTGTATTATGGCGATTCACAGCAAGTAGAATGCAAAAAATAACTTTCAGAGCAAAATATTGGTTTGGTATAATTAGTCATTCATAGAGCAAATTTTGTATCTTTAAGAGACAAGCAAATGAAAGAAAAACTCGGTTAAGCACCTTTCAGCTTGTTAAAAATCCATTTTGCCTTCTCTTCAACAGTACTTGAGATAGTCTGAAACAGCAAGGAAAGTTTTAGAAAAACCAAAAAATTAGTAACATTAACTCTATATATATATATATCCAAAATGAAGACCAATCTCATATCAAAAAATAAAATTGTTCCTTTTCATTTCATGGTATGATTTACAAGTTATAAAATTTGATACAATAAGGTGTTAAGTATTCCAGTTGTAAACTTACACCTTAACTGACAACCTCAGTTGATAAGCTTAGCTTTGACATTTATGAAATGACTTCTTATAACAAAATAAACTAATCCAAAGAGAAAAGGAACACTGACAAATCATCATCCCAAGGACCTATACCAATGTAACTGTGTATGTAGTTGACATCAATATGCAAAGAAAGATGGACACTCGAATAATTTCATAGAGTAAGTTGAGAATTTGTTTTGTCATTGAAATGATATGATACTCTAGCTCTAGTACAGTGTGGCCAAAGGGATTCATATCACTATAAGCTCTAAGCATACAAAATGATTTTCAGCACACATGAATATCTTAAAATTCTAGTCATACAAGCAGTATAAAACTTAATCTCATAAGGCCAATGCTGGACAAGCGTTTCCAAGACAACATCTTCCTTTGCAACATCTGGCTTTTGAGGTATCTTTTCATTTTTGGCTGCTCAATTAAGTTAAGAGTCATAATTATGATGTAGTAGTTAACATCTATGTCATACAACCCCTATTCATTCACTTTTTTGTGGTTGGGTTCATCATGTTGATTGTATTTACTATACAGAGCTTACTCTTTTATATCCCATAAAATAGATCAATATTCCATTCTATATCCAAACAAAACACTAATGCTTTCTCACCCTTCCTAGTTGTCAGCAACAACATTTCACTGTGTAGTCAGGGATGAGAGAAATGAAAGGAAAATTCTAAGAATTCACACCAAATGAAGCCCTTTAAATCAGTTTAATACAATTTTCAAAAGAAATCTCATTTTTCTAGAACCCAATGGATCAATTTTTTCTAACCTTCCTGCTTTCTTTCCCTTCCTTTCAATAGTCAAATTTCTGAAAGTTTAATGAATTTCCATATCAGCAGAAGTTTAACAACAAAAATGGAGACACAGAAAACAGACACAAATATCGCATTTAGAAAATATCGAAGTTCAGAACAGATGAAACCCTTTTGTTTTTGATAAAAGAAGCCCAAGCAGAATAATGTCATAAAACATTTGAAACTAACCAAAACAAGCCCAAAAAATTACCAAATGTAGCAGTTAAATCACAGTGTAACTTTCATTCCTTTTCCTAATCTCCTTTAAATAAAAATACCCATCTCCCAGTTCTTCGTCTTTCAACAAAAATCCACAGATCTCACACTCCATTAGTAATTTCACACAACTTCTGAAAGACTAGACAAAAACCAGGACAGGAAATTCAACAAAAGGTTAAAATCTAAACTCACATTGATGTCTTGAGAGATGTTGGAGAGCTCTTCCTTAGCTTTTTTAGAGATCCACAGGCTCCCAACCTTAAAACTGCTAACGGTTGTGAGTGCTTTTTCCATTTCCTTGTGTCTTCAGATCTCCCTCTTTAACACTCAAAAATAGTTTGAATGCTAAGTGAGTGAGTACAACAGCTACTACGGTTTCAGTTTACACTTAAAGCCGAATGATAAAGTTAACGACAGATTTTTTTTTTTTTTTTTTTTAAATTGAGTTAAGTTATTATTAGTAAGAAGTATTTGAATTTAAAAATATGTTTGATTCTTTATAATTGTTAATTTAGTTAAATATATTATATAATAAAATATTTAAAATTAATAAAAATATTTTTATCTATCTATTAAATGTTATCTTTAAAAATATGTGGATGGGTGGGAATGTTTTTTTTAATTCATAATTTTTTTTTTATTAGTTATGTTTAGTTAAATTAATCAATTTAAAAGATTTAAAAATAATTAAATTAAATTAAATTAAATTAGGGTGGGATAGAAATATTAAAACGAAGGCACCCAAATGTAGAGACAAACAACACAGCCAAACCGTGCAGGGAAAATAGCGGCGCTCACAGCTGTCGAGGTAATACTAAACAAAAATGTCAATTTTACCCTTATCATTTGGGACCTTTAGTCTAATAGTTTGAAATAACTTTAATAAAAATCGATTTAACATATGAGCTTTGTGTTGAGTTCACATTCACGTACCCTTTTTTTGGACCTTCCATCACTTTGTGAACCAAACTATATATGCTGATGCTGGAACAAAGTTAGCTGTTGAGATGGGTAAAGTCTTAAAGGAGAAGAATTTTTTTTTTGTTTTTTATTTTTCGGGGCAGATGCTTTATATGAACGCTTCTATTGACCTTTATCATGTGGTGGCGGTGGAAGATGCAATATTCTACATGGTGGGGCAAAGTGGTTGCATTTTCCAGCTCAAAAGTTTAGATGATCAACAAAATTTTATAGGCATGTTTGGCTTGTTATTTTTGCCCATATTTTCAATCATATTCTCTAAATAATGTTTGATTTATTATTACAGAAATGTTACTCTATTTTTTTAATTATTTTTAGACCCTATAAGGTTATTAATTTTATAAATACCCCCTGAAAAACAAGTTTAAACATTAACAAAAATACCCCCGTAACCCATACTTGCCAGATTCCGGTAACCACCGTCGGTGGTAACTGGAATCTGCCACAACGGTGAATTACCGATCAGAACTGACTGGTAATTCACCGATCTAGCATTTTCTAGTCAGGTCCACAGTGGCTGACGGCCAAAGAAATGGAATCTTGGCCATCGTTGACCGAAAACGACGGTCAAAGATGGCCGTTGTTTTGGTCTTTTCTGACCGTCACGGCCACAGCAGGCCGTAGATCTGACCTTTTCCGGCCAGATCCACCATGACGCGTTACGACACAGATCCGACCGATTTGTGTCGTAACGTGATTTTCCGGCCAGATTCCGGCGGTGTTGGCCGGAATCTGGCACTGCAGGTGGTGGGGGTATTTTTGTCATTTTATATATTGGAGTGTTTAAAAAATTAGTAAAGTTTGGGGCTTTTTTTATAAATTTTTAAATTTTACCTCGTAATACTCCCCTATTCAACTACCCAATATTATTTCCAAAATCCTATCCAAAATAATAAAATCAAACGCACCCTATATTACCAAGTCATTTGTCAATCTTTTTCTTTTCTCTCAATTATTTGTTTTATCTGCCAACCATTTTATTTATTTATTTTGGTCATCAGGGTGTTCAGACCAATTTACGTATACTTCAACTGATCTCTAAAGTTCATTGAATAGTCTACGTGTACTTAAACTAATTTTCGCCACAATGTTATTGTAGTAGGTGATCACAATGTTTGAATCTAACAACCGAAACTAACCTCCTTGATCGCCATGCCAAACCCATGAGTTTTTTATTTATTTTTTGCATTAACTATCAACACATTTTATTAGGGATGGGAATAAAAACAAGAACATAAAACTAGAAGCCTAATCTAGCTATCAATAGAAAAAGAGCTTGTTGGCAATAATATGTTTGGGAAGTAGCAGGTTTCCAAATGGAGATCAATCAACTAGAGGTGTATCTAATATAAGTGCAAGTATGAATATTAACAATAAAAAGAGACTATGGCATGTATTGACTCATAAATATACATATATTAAAGGTATTATTTTTAGTATAAATAGTTTCCGGACCAAAAAAAAAAAGTGCACATTTGAAGTTGTTTCTGCAATCTCAGTACGTATAAGGTTTTCACAGTAGCAATAGATTCTTGGCATATATCTCTATGAGCCACTACTTGTTCCTTTATTATTTCCCTCTTCTTCGGCTTCTTCCCCGGCTGATGAACTAATGTTCCAACCAAAACTGAACGTTCTGTGTCTCTTGGACAAAATGGAAGAGCTCATAGCCTCATGAATTCTACTCTCCTCCTGTAATTAAACACTGCAAAAATGGAAACGAAAGTGATTGTACAAGGTTAAAAGATAAAATCAGCTAGTGTCGGAATGTACCAAGTAGACCTATTAGTAAAGGTTCTGATTCTCTAGTGACATAAATTATAAATTCAATATTCAATTTATCAGAAAAAAAAAAATGAAGGGATTGACTCCATACTGACTATAGAAGAAAAGAAAGCTCATTCAATTGAACTTCTCTAGAGCTTTACTCTTAGCTTCATAGTCCAGACCAACTCCAGGTTATATCATGATTGAAAGAGGAGACATGGCATCCAGGGGAGTGGATACGCAACACTGAAAGCATGGCACTGCAGCTAGCCAAGATATATGAAACTGAGGGCATTGTATCGCGCAGGTCTACAATGTTAAAAAGAAGCTACAGCTTGTGGTAACAAGAAAATTCATGGAACCTAAATATGTAGAAAGCTTGTAAACCAACTTCATTAGTTCATTGTTCCAAATAGATAGCATGATGCTGAGGCCGAGGCTTTGTAGAAAGCTTGTAAACCAAGAATTGTGTGATTTGATTTCTTTAGCATCACTTGATGCTAAAGAGTCGAAGGATCGCCACCATGCCACCCTCATCATCAATAATGTCCCATTTCTTAGATATAGATCGAACTATTTCTGCAGTCAAAAGAACAATATCTAAGATGTCAACGCTTCATATATTTTTAAAAGTCTTCGAATGGAAATCAGGATGATCGGAAGTTCATCGGAATATTGATACATTGGCTCTAATGACACAACTTTTTGCATCAATGTAAGGGGAAAGGTGTACTGCAACTCCATTGCCGTGTCACAACAAGCTAAAAAGCATAAAAAAGGCCTATAATGACGTTAGTTATGGGTTGCAACAGGCTTAAAAGTATATCCAGGCCTACTACAACGCTAAGTTTGCGTCGAAATAGGCTAAAAAGTCTATCCCTACCACATTTTGATTTAGGAAAGACAACATCTCTCCTGACGTCGTATTGCGGGAGAAGTGGTTTATTCCAACACAAACGTTCGCATCTACATACTTCTATCTCTTCATCCTCGTATTCGTTTCTTGCAGATTTTTTTTTTTTTTTTGGTCTTCGCACTCTTAAAAATATTTTCTCTACATTTTTCGTTTCATGTACCAGAAGCTCTTGGAGTGGATTAAAACCATCACTCAAACATACTAGAGTGTTTGGTTGTGTATGCTACAAGTTCCTGACGATATTCCTCAACTGTATAATCTCAAGCATTTGGAAATGACAATTGAAGTATTAGATGGCAATTACCTTCTTCCTTGTGTGGCTTTCTTGAAAGCAGCTCCTTCATTATATAAATTTACGCTGAAGTTATCAGATGTACAACACTCCTTTGGACTGGTAAATGTCAAGGGTCATCCATATTTAATCCTCGAGGATTTATTAAGCATGGGGGTAGTGGAATTGGTTGGGTTTGTTGGGGTGAACAATAGATAATTATTGACGGTGCAAAATTGCTGGAAAAGATAATAATTAATCCTTGTAAACCACCTTATCAATTGTTAAAAATTGTCTAATTAGCGTGCTATAAGCTAGAGATCAAAACTGACCAAAACGGATGTGCTTTTCTTTTTCGACATGCAAGACAAAAGGATGGACACAACCGCTCAAAAAAGGAGCATGCAAACTCTATACAAAGAGAGAGGGGACACAGCATAAGTGCTCTAAGGGAGCGCACAAGCTCTAAACAAAGAGGCAGGGGCACAGGTGCCCTAAGGAGCACACAAGCTCTAGAAAAAAATCAAATAAAGCAAAATCAGTCTGGCTGGTGCCAGATGGCTACAAAACTTCCTTTATGGGAATTTGTCATACATAAATGAAGATGAACATGAGATGACTCTCAGCTGTTAAATGAATTAATTGTTAAGCTAAGTTTTTAGATCATTTGTATTCAACAATAGACATGTTTTTCTTTTTCGGAAATATAACTGGATAATTTCTTCCCCCAAGAAAGCTTTGGTATGATCTTAGGCTCTTGTCTGTTCAATATCAATATTGCAGCAATTTGATGAAATTTACAGTATCAAATTCAAGCATAAAATGTTCCATATATTTACAGTCCCCCTAATTGACTTTCTTTCATTACAACGGTGGTGTTGGTTGCATTGACATTATTTCAGAGCTCAGGAATCAGGATACTGTAAATTGATATCTATATATTATATATGTTGAACAATAACTACACGTATATAATATGAAGGTTAAGAAAACATCTTCAAAATATGAAACCCTATATATACAGATACATATACAAAGCTACGACTGCTCCTCATAGGAAGGGTGTATGCGTGTTTATAAGTTATTATGGCTGGAAAGAAGATGTAGCTTCTACAGATCAAAGCTATGGCTGTTGAAATGGAATATTGGATGATGGCTATCTCTGGTTAAACTGTGTGACCTGATTTCTTTTGCAACACTTGACTGAAGAGTCGGCGGACCACACACAATGACACCCACATCAACATTGCCCCATTTGTTAGATATGGATCCAAATATTTCTGCAGTAAAAAAGGACATCTCAGAGATCTCAATGCTTCATCATCCATTTGATATTTTCTCCTAAAGTATTTCCTATCCTGACATTTCTTTTTCCATATTTATATTAATTTGTTTATGTAATATATCATCATGGTTTTGTACCGAAAAAGAGAAAGGAAGTAAGAGAGAAAATACCTTTGAAGTCTGGTCTTGAACCATACC